GAAAGGGAAAAAATAAGGAAATGCCTGCTGAGTCCTTTCAAATACTTGTAGTTGGTATCCGCACTGCAAAGTTGTTTTTTGGTTATTTTTGTTAGTTGTTTTTGTTTCCTCCCTCAAAGGTTTTACCCAGGGGAGAAAGAAAATCACCAGTAGTGTAATAAAATATTTTTAACTTAAAATATAATTACAATAATAATACAATACACAGTCATTAACGGGCAAGTGAACACCCTGTAAATGAACCGTCTTAGTGCTGAGGTGCATCTTTTCAGTCCAATGTTGAAAAACGGCTAGCAGAGAAAACTTGTGCTTTAATAATTTTATTATTTAATAATTTTATTGTAGTACAGGCTGTCGTAAAGAGGCTGCAAGTAAGCCTAAATAGAAAGGACAAGCTCTGTTGTGTTAATTTTGTTTAAGGTTTAGGGCGATCGTGGCTCAAGAGTTGGGAGTTCGTCTTGTAATCGGAAGGTTGCCGGTTCGAGCCCCGGCTTGGACAGTCTCGGTTGTTGTGTTCTTGGGCAAGACACTTCACCTACCGCCTACTGGTGATGGCCAGAGGGGCCGATGGCGCGATATGGCAGCCTCGCTTCTGTCAGTCTACCCCAGGGCAGCTGTGGCTACAACTGTAGCTTGCCTCCACCAGTGTGTGAATGTGAGAGTGAATGAATAGTGGAATTGTAAAGCGCTTTGAGGGTCTCGAAAAGCGCTATATAAATGCAATCCATTATTATTATTATTATTATTATTATTCACCCATCCTGTACACAACCTTGTCTGCTGGCTGCCTTTCTTTCCTTCCACATTGAACAAGACAGTCAGGAATGAGAACATAAGTTACATTTGGAAAAGTCCTAATCCTTATATTTCTATATGCTGATGTCTGTATCGGTTTACACAATAAGCTACAAGTCTTCAAAAAGTAATCGTCATTTAGCCTTGGGAAAAAAAAAAAAAAAAAGTGTCCTCTGCTTTGACCCACATTAAACTGGAGGTATATGTCTAAACTGAAACAACCGACAGGTGCTTGTGCATCAGCTGTAAGGCATTCAGCACCAAGTCCATCTGGATGCATGCATTTACTAATCAGGAGTAAGCTTGAGAGCAGATACCTTTTAAATGAAAGTTGTGCTCCCAAGCTACCATTAGATATCAGATCAAGTAATCAGATCAGTGGCCATGACTTTCCCCTATCTGCCTGGTTAGAAACACAGGTCCTGACAACCTAAGAGAAGAAAATCCTTCATTTGTATTTAAACAGAACTAATCCTGAGTTTCGGCAACAACCCCCAACAAAAACACTTCTGGAGACGTTACTGAAAACTATCTCACGGCAGAGATTAGGGGTCTACTACATTAGAAGGTGAACATTTCCACAGGTGAAGTTTTCAGCTTCTTTTTTAATTAATAACAAGGCAGTGTGTTTTCTTGCACAGCTAACGGTATGTCAGAAAGCAACCTTAGGTTAAGGAAACTGAGAATAACTCTGGACACACACACACACACACATCCCCCCCTCCCCCTCCAAACGCCTTCGACGCTTATTCCCTTCCATGCCGATGGTGGATCAAGGAGACCAGCGCTGCTGCAGGCCCGGATGTACTGTCTACATTGGCTGTCTCTCACCCTTTACCCATCCCTGTTGCTTGTCATGTGTTTCTTTGATGTATTAAGAGTTTTTTCATGTGCTATGTGCAGAGGTGTTTCTGTTCTCAAACTGATCTCCCTATTGAAGCTCAGTCTGGGGGGGGGGGGGGGGGGGGGGGGGGGGGGGGGGGGAGTTATTTTTTTTTCTCCTTATCTTTCCTCATGTGGTGCATTTTGCATTGTTAGACCTGTCTGACCTGTCTTCCCCATGTGATGTTTTTGTGTAATGTATGTATGGTCGGAGGGTAAGATGGCGCCGCCATAGCATGCAATAGGTCAGCAGCCTTAACATGAAATTTCCCACTCATGGGACTAATAAAGGTATCTTATCTTATCTTATACACCAGCCTTCATCCTTCAGCCCACCAACACTATGCTGATTATATATTGTACTAGTGGGCTGTATATAAATGCATATTGAGCTACCCTAAAGTTAAATAAACCTGTCACTGCTCTGGAGATGCCCAGCAAAATGATCCCAATCCTTTTGTGAAGGCCACATGTCACATGACCTCTGACTTAAAACTTCCTTCCTTGAGCTCATTTGTATAGCAAATGTCCTGTCCAATTTCCAAGCTGCCTATTGTTCCACACTAAGTGCTTTTACACAGTGTAAGCCACAGTTCTGACAGTCTGTAGTGGTTTGTTTAACATTGTTATTATTGTTTGAATTATATTAACAAGTGCAGTAATAAGACTCTACTTAATGCCAATTAAAGTAAATAAATTTAAATGAGAGTCTAATAATAATAATAATAAAGCTAGTTTGTGCAGATAAAGCTATCAGAAAAGATGACGTTATCTTCTGCCCAGCTTTAAACAGAGGACCTTTATAACTCAGTAACTTAAACAAATAGTGTGCACCTGCAACACCCTAACCTTTATTGCACCCACTCCAGTCTTTCGAAACCTTAACAACCAGGAAACTTGGTGAGTAAAAGATAATCCTCAAATGTAAACACCATGTCAATGAAACCTGGACCCAAGCAAACAAAATAAAAACAGCATCTGCAAACAACACTCAGCCCATCCTTCTGTCACTTCGTTAGTCCTTTGTCACTGACAGACAGTGGGAGAAGCGGCAGCGCTGCTCTTGTTCAGGCCACCATAAAAGTCACCTCTAGGAAGTTTATGGGCGACAGATGCTCGTGTAAATGAGGCTTTCCCCCCCTCTTCCATCTTCTCCTCAATCAAGGAAGGGGCTTTACGGTCACTGGCAGTGACCCAGAGTTAACCTCCTCGTGCATTGCTAAGGAAACAGAAGAGTTGAGAAAAAGGGAGGAAGCCCAGGCACAAGGAGTTGAGCAGGAGTCAAGTCTGTCTTTTTATATATACAACTCTCTCTGTCTGCGTGCATCTCGATGGTGCAGTCTTTCTTCTAGGCATATCTCACACAGACACACACAGACACACACACACACAGACACACACACACACACACACACACACACACACTGCTGCTGTCTGCTCATGAACGTCAGCCTGAAGCCATTATTCACCGCGTCTGATCTGGCAGTCTGCAGTCGGCTTCAGCAGTCACAAGGAGGTCTTTCTTCTGACACAGCTGGTTTCCACCAATATGGTCAGTAGTCAGAATCCGTAGTCAAGAATGATTAATAGATGATCTCAAACCATCAGACTAGACGAAAAAAGGTTAATTAAAATCGCTTACTTCCCATCAATTTGAGACGCAGTTTGAGCGATCTCACCATTAGTCTGGAACAACTTGGACACAAATTAACAGCACACACACAATCCTGTTCTGTGTTTTACAACCAAATCTAACACATCTTAATTCCTTCAGTACAGGAACTCAGACACCCCGAGCACAGTTATGCCATTACCACCAACAGCAGCTGGTTAACAAGATGGGAGGGAAAGCCAAGAGTGGAAAACAAGAGACAAGTGGCGTGAGTTAAAATCCACCTGCCTTGAAGAGGCCCAACAGGTGGCTGGTCTGCTTCCTGCCAAAAACTACATCATGAGGACATTCCAGACAAATCTGAGACAAGACCTCTTGAGAAACAGCAATTAGAGGGAGGATATAAGAAAATTCCCAAAGCACTGCAAACCTCTCAGAAGACAAAAGGGCAAAAAAAAGAATAAGAAAAAAAGCCAACTATAAATCTGTATGAGGGCAATAAAAGAGGGCTACTGGCAGCTCATGAGATGTGTGACTATTAAGGCCGTTAAAAGTAAGACACTGAAAGCACATCAATATTATTTTATCCTTTATTTTCTTACAATTTGGCTTAACCATTAAAAGTATGTCTATTCAGCCCGTATCAGCATGGTGTCTCAGTGGTTATCAATGTTGCCTCATAGCTAAAGGTTCAAATACAGGCAGGACCCTTCTGTGTAGAGTTAACTCACTTATAAAGAAGAGAGAAAATAAATATCACAAAACAACAATCTGTTCAAGTGAAAAAACACAAAATTACATTACAGTTCGTGCAACTTTGTAACGGAGGTATTTAATTTTCATGTCCGCAACATGTATTTTGTTTAGAATGGACAAAGTGTGGACAGGTAGCTGTTGCAGTCAAGACAGCAGAGCTTGAAACCTTCTAAAATGACAAATAAAGTGTATGACTTGAACTTGGGTCCCTGGTGTGAGTGCTGAAACCTATACCCTAAACACCAATAGTTTTTAAGCGTTAATGATTTAAACTTTTCTAGATCTAAACATATTTAGTAAGGCTGACATCACCACAAAAGGCATGATACTGCACTTTAACTGATGAATTTACAGTAGGTAATGACTAGGTCACATGTGTGACACCACTGGAGTGGAGTTAACATTATGCCTGTACGGGATTTCTTTGGGAGTTCCACTCTCTGCCACAATACCAAAAAAAAAAAAAAAAAAAAAAAAAAAAAAAAAAACCCATGCTGCCTATTTTGGCCTAGGACACTCAAAAAACTTTCACTTCCTGGTAAAAACCCAGGCTAAAAATTGCTCCTTTCTTTTAAATACCCCTGGATAGTTTTGTCAGAATAAAAGTCAAATAGGGGTATTCTCAAGCAGGTTCTAGAGTTGTAAGAGCCAACTTTTTTCCATTGATTACTAAAATCATTTATGGATGTACATCTGTAATGGTCATAGTAGGTAATGTCCTCAGAACATTTTCTGAGAATTTCTCAAGTCTGTTCCACCCACATCCTCTTGAATTGTGTCAACACATAACAATGCAAAATGACTGTTTTCATTCACTGCTGCACAAGACATACATTGCAGCCCTCATTGAGAAAGAAAAAAAAAAAAAAGGGGGGGGGGGCGGGGGGGAGGAATTAGGTGCCAGTGAAGAAAATACATCAGCTGTTGACATGAGTCACACTCTAAACAGACTTACCTAGAGTCTCCTTTTCCAAGGTTACCTCCTGCAGGATGGAGGATCGTCTGGTTTTTCACCATTTCCACAACACATTTAGTGTTTAATTCCTTTTCTGTGGATCAGAAAACACAAAGTGTTATTACTAAACGACTGAAGCTCAAAACCTCACACATCCCAGTCAATGCAACCATTCACAAGCAAACATAATATTTGGACCCAGAATCCTTAGTGTTATATACATGGCTGACACCAAGTAACTTTTATTAACACTGCTCTGATAGCCACGTCCTCCCTGCATAACAAGCAGGAGTTAAACTGCATTAGATATTAGCCGTAATTTCCTGTGGAACAAACGTTATGTTTAAACAATTGTGTGTGCAGAAAAGCAATCACAGACTCAGAAAAAAATGACCTTTTACTTTAGAGTAAGCATTTGGCTAATCAATACCCTGGTTATTTTGGGCACACAAACACATACAGAACTAAGGACGTCCCATTCTGACCGTGGCCTGTTCGTGCAGTGACGTAACACTTGGCCTTCAGACCACCCACTGCCCACTTCCAACTCAGCATGTCTGTCGGGAGACAGACACTCTCTCTATTTTTAAGATTAGACATGTTTGATAAAGGCTATACTTAAATCTAGATCAGATGACACACTATAGTAAAAGTGGGTCGATTCTTGGCGTTTGATTGTCTCGCTATTACTGTAAGATCCATAACTTTATAATATAAAACAACTTGAGGGGACTTGTTATGATTTGACACTATATAGATTAAATTAAAAGCATGCATAAGGACTGATCTTGATGCCTTTTTCATTTATAAAAAAGAAAAAAGCTAGCTGTAAAAGTAACCAAACTGGAAAATAACAATAAATAATTGAGACTGGTATGTCTCTCCATTCATCTGCCGTCCTTAGGAGACCTAATAATAGTTGTCTGCATACTCGCATGGTAGGTGCTGCCAGCATATCCTGGGCTTCCAACATCTGACAGAACTGCTTGTTTATTTGAATTAAAAAAAAAACATGTACTCATAGGAGAATATAACATTAGAGTCACTGGAATTTAAAAAAAAAAAAAAAAAAAAAAAAAATCACAAGTGTGTACAATTATACATTATTACTATAGTTAAGACTGTGGTTACATGCCACAAAATACTGAATAAACATAATTAGTCAGTTTGTTATAAATTAATGTTTAATCATAATAATAACACAGCTACATACCACATCAATAGGATGTCTTTCTGTGTCAGCGGGAAGCATATTTGTTAAGACCATAAATATATGGCTGGGAATTGTGTTCTCCCTGGTAACGATAGCCTCTTTAAAGTATCATAAAATTACCCTGTGATCAGAGGTCACAATGGGGTTCCTTAAAATGCAAATCAGTATTTGCTCAAGGTCATTTTTATTGATAATAAATACCATCCTTCCACCACCACCATATGACCTTGTTCAGGCCATGTGTACATATGCATGATAGAGTAGCAGCTTTATTACATTGTTGCTGTGCAAATTACCACCATATTCAGTAAATACTTCAGCCAAATCTTTAGATATGGGCTGTTAGACTTTTTATTAAACAAACAGTATATGAAATAGACGACTGTCAATAACCTCTCAACTGTGCAGTAGGCTTGCAAGAACATGTAGGGATGTTTCGATCATCAGCAAATGTGTTAGGACAGGAAAAACAGTTTGTGGTTTCAATTCCTTTCTGCAACAAGAACTGTCTAAAGTAGCGTTACAGAAGTGCTGTTTCTTCAGTCGTTTCTTTTTTTTTGTAACCAAGTCATGACTGCTGGTATAATCAACAAGTCAGGGTGACGCATACACTCGCTCACCATGTGCCAAATCATAGCTTCACAACCAACAATTCAATATCACTATGAGAGGAGTGCAACAATATCTCCCAAATTCCATAAAATAATTTTTGAACCACAGTTGCACAATTAATCCACTTGATTGGATCACAAAGCAATAAACTTGCTTATTCTAATCCATTTCTAGGTAAATTGGTACCTGAATGGCCTTTAAACATTAATTAATTTCACAGAATTAAAAGCTGGGAGGGTAAGACAGTTTGAGAATATTTATAACCCTAGTGCACAGAAGACATTAGTAGCCTTTCTCATGGTTTGGTGACAAAGTATGAAAAGTTAGCTTTATTGTTAAATAAAGCAATAAAACACGCTTTAGCAAAGGGCATTTCCAATTGCTGTGTAGCTGGTGAATAGGTTGTATGTGGTTTTACATGCTGAATTATTAGCATAGCTGCCTTTGCCTAACAAACAAGATGCAAATAGTCACTTTATCTAGCTGGTACAATTTCTTACATACAATACAAATGGGAATCCCAATGTGTGTAGTTGTACATCTCCAGGCTTTTCTGGCTTAAGCGGACAGGGTTATGGATGCGAGCATGATTGGACCACATACAGTTGTGGTCCAAGGCACATAGGCACAAGAAGGCTGTATTGCTCGACTTAAAAGAAGTCAGCGCATTTTACAGAATTTTTTGTTAATTTGACAAATAACGTGTACTTTATGCTTGAGCAAAATCAGTCTAACTTACAAAGATGTTCAAAATCAAAGGTCTTGTGATTTTCCGTGGGTGGAAGGGCAAAACTTGTCTGGTCGGCACCAAAGTTTACTGTATGCTGGAAAAACTGACGTCCGATGGGGAGGCCAAGTGTGGTCATTCAAATTAGAAATATTATGTATTTTAAGCTGAACTGTCTGCTTTGTGGAGCTTGCACTACTGTTTCAGGCATGAGGGTAGAGCCATGGAAACTTAATGTCAAAGGTCAGAGAACCTGAATCACGCTCCAATTCTTCTGCTGTCAAGGGCAGTACAAAGCAAAAAAAAGGAAAGCAAGAAAAAACGGCAGGTTGATTCAACAGAGAGCCCATAACAGACAGAAAGAGCAAACGTTAAACAAGGGGGCTGACACAGACATACAGCTTTTAGAATGCAAACTTTCTGTTCTACTTTTTCCTTCTGTTACTGCAGCCTACATTACCCATGTGCCCCATGTGCAGCAGCTGTACTTTCTGCTCAGCAGAGAGGAAAGTGTGATGTAGCATGGTTGAGAGGATAAATGTACCCATTGTTATCTGCCTCTCGTTGCTCCATAACCAGCTCCCACTTTCCACTGGCCTTCCCTGGGCTACCGGTGCTGAGGTTTGGCACCACAGCACTGACATCAGCCAGGAAGCTGATTGGCCGCGGTGTTGCCGTTGCTACGCCTGAGGTTGCTCTGTTCTTCGAAGTCCACAGCCATGGGAACATGGAGGATTATGCAACGTTAGCAAATACTCATTCAGACTCACTCCCTTCCTGCCTTTGTCCAGCTAGGCAGCTACAGCACCTCTCCTCCTCAACCTGGGATACATGGGGACAGTGGCCTTGGGTTAAAGGGGCCTGCTTATTATTTCAGACTCTGAATCACCACACCAGCTAGGGAAAGCTGAGAGGAAAGTGCTCTCCCTTAACTACCATGACTGTTTCCAGAAACAGCTGTGTGATGGTGGAGAACAGAGTAAGAGCTGTGGCTGAACAGATCAAAGGTGCGAATGTGTGAACTGGAAAACCACACAGAGCAATTTTTCTGAGATCTGAGAGGATTTGTGAGTGCACTTCTCCTGGAGTGACTCTTGCCCACTGCTTTTTATGAAATCAAAAAAATACTACTTGAATGCTGGTAGATGTGGACAGAAACTCCATTCAGACAGAGAAACCATCAAAAAGGCCCTTATGGAAACGTGGCACTGCCAGTTCCAAACCTATTCCCACTGCATTTAGCAAACTCTCAATTTTCCTGCCTGTTCCTTTTTTTGCCAAAATAATAATTGGTTCAACTTGCTGGAAGATAGAGGATGCATACAGGAACTGGTTTATGTACAACATTAACTAACTACTAGACCTGGATGCTGGCTTTGATCTAGTTTTAAATCTGCTTCTGAAAGTTGCTTTTAGTGGTTTGAAAATATAAGCCCATTTGAGTATAGTCAAGAAACTAATTTGAGATCATTTAAGCTTTATGACCTGGCATATTACATTATCCAGCTGGAAGCAGCCACAACCACCAGTCTGAACCATTAACATGACTCGGGATGGAGCCATGCTTCCATGTTTATGTTGTGTATGCCAAATTATGAGCCTACCATGCAAATGTCACCACAAACATCAAGTCTCATCAGACCAGGGAATCTTTTTCCAATCTTCTGCTGTCTTGGCTGGCTAATTAGTTATTTATGTTAACCACCAACTGAACAGGTGTATCTAAAGTGGCTGTGGCTGATGGGCATGTTGTCAAAGTTCAGGAAATCCACTGAATTAAAATTCACTTTGTTAAGTGTAACAAATTCACAAGTCTACAAGCAATCATGTAAAGTAACTGTGACTTTAGAAACTATGTTTGTTTTTTCCACACCTGACTCACATGTAAGCCTTTCTCCATTCTCAGCAAAATGCTGCACAAGCCTTTATTATTTATGGAATCAATAATAAGAGCATTAAAGAATGTGCTCCAAGTATCAATAAAATCCCCTCATAGATATCAGCTGTACCCGTTAGGTCAGATATCACACTGAAAAGGGATAACTGAATGAGGACAAACTGAAGAAATCTAAGACAAAACAGGACAAATGAACTTCAAGTAAATTCCCCTCACTCCCTGTCAACTACCTTGCAGCTGTTGGTGAAAAACTGGACTTTTTAAAGTGGAAAACTTACTTCTAATTTTACAGAGAGCCATCAGTGAAGAAAAAAAAAATCATCTTTCTCCCTGCAGAGTTTACTCTACATCAGAGTTCACAGTGAGATCAGTGTGGTGATCCACTGCCTTGATCTTGTGACCGACATCTCCAGTTCAAATGAGGGGGAGGACACACGTGATTCATTTTGCCGGTTGTTGGTCAACCACTCTACCTCAGCAGCTTTCCTCTTTCTCCTCCTTTTATGGGACACATGGTATCCCACGGCACAAACACAAATTGGAAATTGACCAGGAAATGTCATCTGTGTCTTCCTTCCTGCAGTGCAGGGAAAAAAAAAAAATCTGGAATGCATTTGACGGGCGCATTCGAGCATGCACAAAAGATTTGTGCAATACTGTGCTTTTGTTATCTGGGCTTTTCTAAAATTAGAGATGTAACAAGATGTAGATGTTAAGATGTTAGCAGCCCAGGAGAGACAGTGAGAGATGCAAAGACAAAAGCCTAAATTTCTGCTCCAACATCATTAGGTCAGCCTTCTTGGGTTATTTACATTAAATGAACCAAAAACATGCCTCCTCAGCATATGACAGTTGAAGCCAAAAAGCTACAGACATCTGTATCAGCCAGTAAAGGAGACAAAGCGTCTAGACTTCCAAACAGTAGATCTTCACACAGCAGCTCAGCTTTAAATCTGGCTGGATGGCAGGCAGCCATCAGGGAAGCCCTATGGCAGCACTGTACAAACATGTGCCATCCAGCTCATTTCACTAATGGGTGCTAATCTCTGACTGCCATCCTACTCCTAAGGGGGAGAGAAAAAAAAAAAAAAAAAAAAAAAAAAAAAAAACCCACCAGAAAAAGGGGAACAGTTAAGTCAGCCCAGGTTCCTGTGAATAATCCATACAGCATAAAAGTGTGAGACTGCCAACATGACATTACTGTATGTCAAGAAGAACTAGGAATCATGTGCAGTGTCAGTGTTTTAATTTCTCTGCACGAGCAATCATGCTGTATGTGTACAGAGATGTCAAAAGCCCTCCTTTTAGAGAACATGTGTTGCAGCTGAAAAAGACTCAGGTGGCACACAGAGATGCATTCAAGATTCTGATGAAGCCTCAAAGACACAAGTGCACACCAAATGTTTGAAATTGATGTGTCAGCCAACTGATTCTACCCACTCTTTCTAGAAACACTGGAGCAACTGATTATATCTCGGGGATGGACAACAATGTGAGAAATGAAATAAAAGTTTTTTGTATGGATATCAACCCCAGTCATAGCAGACTGAAGCCACCCTCTCACCTCTCCTGTTCATGGGCCGTACACGAACAGCCACCTTGACATTGGAGTCGTCCAGGCTCGGCTCCCCCATGCTGTCTCTTTACCCGGGGAGGGAAAGCAGCGCTTGTCCAAAATAAATCCGCCTTTCAGCTGAACAATCATCCAAAACTCGGGAAATGCTCCGCTAGCCGGACTCTGGGCCGGCTAGCCTCTCTCAGCTTTGCTCCACAGACCAGGCATGTCCACGGGAAAAAACAAAAAGCCTGGGTGAAATCCTGCAGGAAGACAGCCACCTCCACTACCACCACCGCCGCTGCTGCTTATTTTCTTCTTCTGTTCATATTCCAGGCTAATTTAAATCCGCCGGGGCGTGGAGGCTGGAAGAGGAAGGAGAAATGTAAATCAAGCAAGATATTACAGTAGCTGGGGTTTGTGACTGAGCAAACATATGCTATCTCCAAAGCCAGAAAAAGGGGGGCTAACCAGCTAATTTGCCAGGCAAACTGAAGGGGAGCAGCGGCAGGAAAAGAGCAAGTTTTGAATCTTTCCTACCATTTTACTCCATAACATGCCAAAACAACACCCAGTCTACGAGCTACACACCTAATGGAATTCATCCCAGATGTGACACCGTTAACCTGTCAGTTAAAGCGAAATGATCCGATGAGAACTGCCTGCCGATGATATGCAGCTTCCCAACGGAATCCGCTGTCCTCCCTTTGCGTCGAGTTGCAAACACCGAGCAGCATCCGCCCTTCCGCTTAATTATTTTCCCTTCATAATAAAAGCCCCGAAGTGTTGTTCTATCCCGCCGCTATCAAACATCGACTAAGTACACTGAATTATCTTAAAATAACGAACTGACAGTAAAGGTCAAATAAGGAAAAATACCAAACACATTGACAACTAAATTTCAGCTGCTTCAGTTTACGCCTGCTTTCATGATTTTATGCCAATTACCTTTACGTATAAACTTTACAAACTCATTTTAGTTGCGCCGGATTTTAACAAATTCATCAGTGGGCTTCAATTTAATTTTATTCATCATTTAAAGTTCATTCCTCGCTCAGCCATGAGTACGTCATCAAAACGCCCAGCCGGGTCCGTTAACAGCACGCTAGCCACACAACAAGCTCCCTTCTTAAGATACTAACTTGTGACTTTAAACTATAACCAGCGTGAATACAGCAGATACCAGCAAATGCCACAATCTTTTGGATAAATTGTTGATAAAAAAAAGTACTTTTTACCAAAACGGTTCAATACCCCGGCCACTCAGTCAGTCACGCGACACTTCCGGTGGTCACCGTCAAGTTAAACGCAGCATACGGAATACTTCCGATATTTTTTTTCCAAAATATAACACGACAACTCCTTTTGACACTCATTGCAATTTCGGGTCATGTTCCTAAGTCACATCATAACATAACGTTACAAAATCAAATTCTAAATTCAGGCGCGACAAATGAACAAAGCAAAATCAATAAATACAGTTAACATTTAAGAGCTAACACAGAAAGCAATGTCTTCAAATATTAGCTATGCAGTACAGTTAATAATTTTACAGTTGTACCCAAATATCAGTGTAGCGATCAGCTTTTCTGTAAGAACCTGCTCAATAGATGGCCTGTCCAAACACTGAGCAAACAGCACTTCATAATTAATAACCTTAATGAGAAATAATTCGGTGGTAATTATCTGAGTACGTCCGTGGAAAATACTGAACAGGCAGAACCAGTAACAAGTAACAAATTTCATCAACGTGAATAGTTTATATTAGATATACAGAAAGGCCTATGCATATTATTAGTGTGTAATGCCTCAAGAAAAAAATCTGCAAAAAAGAAAAAACAAAAAAACGAGGTTGATTGACTATTAATTTTAAAAACTTATAACGGAAGTCAGTTCACATCCATAAATGAACAAAGGACTGTCAGTTTTGATTTTGAACGTGCTGGAAGATTCCTGACACCTAGTGGCCACAGGTGGAGCTGCAAGCAAAAAAAGGACGCCTGAACTGTTGGTAATAATAATTTGTGTCAAATTATTATTATCAATTTTTAAAAAGTCAAACTTATATTAACAACAGCTATTTGTTTATTCATGACACCATAGTTTAATTACTGTACAATGATATGCATAATATGACACTATATTACATCATCCTGTAAGTGAATAATTTCATTTTTACATTCGGTCTGTGAAACTGAAAGGATAAAGTTGAAACCTTTGATCCAGAGACATCATAAGGCACTTAAATTAATACTGAATCTGAGGGAGAAATGTGGAACAGCAAAGATAGTGGTAGAAATAGTGGGGGTGATTGTGTGTCCCCATTCTGTTTGGGATCACACTATTACAGAATGGTCATTTGAACATGGCTGCCAAAGGGTGAGATGTGTTTATACAAAGAAATTTGGTTGATCTGCTTCCACTGTGGCTGCTAGGAAGTTTCTGGAGTTGAATCTAGGTGGAGCTAAAGTTTGCAAAATGAGATAAAGGACACCGGCTATAGTGAGGACTGTAAAAGACTTTTAAATACAATTCTGGATTTGAGCCTTCCTAAGAACAATCATTTTACTTTTTGGAAAGAAAGCTGTATCTTCATATGTTCTTCCAACCAAATTTCTCACAATGTGTCTGCCTTATAATATATTTTAAAAGTAGCTTAAGATGGCTCAGGCTTCATGCCTTTTAATGACAAAATCAAACAAGAAAACAACAACAAAAAAACAACAATAAAAAGTGAAGTCTGGGGTTTCATTTCTTGTTTATGGTCGTTCAACATAAATCAGTGGTGTATGGTTCAGACCACTAGAGGATGCCCTGCCTCAAGATGTGGCAGCACTAAAGGTGAGGCACTGGAGAACAGACAAGACCTTGCTGAGCTGATTTTATGGTTTCTTTTGTCTCTACTAACTCTAACTTTGTATGAGAAAATTTTTAAATTATATGACCTTCACAATCAGAATAAGCTAACAAGATCTGTTGGTCTGCAGCTATCAGAAGGTCAGAGTAAATGCAAAATTGTAAGTAGCAATACTGACAATTTTTACTAGGACGACCATCATCTGTTGTCGTTACTAGCATCTCAAAGACTTATGGAGATTATGTAACTCCAATGCTGAGTTCTCAAAGATTGTGAATTACCAGGTGACTCTTTCAGCCAACTACCTGTCAAATGTAAGTAAGTGCATGGAAGTGACAGGACCTCCAACTTGTCTTATGCTCTGATGAAGGCCATGAGGCTGAAATGTTATATTGATTGACAACCACTATGATCATTTTGACACTTGTAACACTTTAATCATAATGAAATAAATCAGATGTACAGGAAACATTTTATTACACCAACTATTTTACCATAAAACTCAGCAAAGCCAAAGTTGCGTGATCAGACTGGTAAAATGGGAAACTTGCTGAAGGGCATTTATATGACCTTCTGATGATGATCTCCTCTCTCCCCTCTTTCTCATTAGCTGCCTGAGGTTTCATTATGTTTTATAAATCATATGAATGCTAACACAACAATGAACACAAAATGATACGAAAAGGTTGTTTTGCTTTTTTTTTTTTTTAAAGTTTTTTTTTTATCCTATTTTTTGTCTGTTATTGATTTTTGTATGGCTTTGGTATTTTTGTGTCTCTTCTCTGTTTTTCTCAAGTCATATTTTGTCTGCATAACCATCTTAATTGCTAGTTGTTTGATTATTCGGCTTTATTTGTTGTGTTTTTATCACTGTGGTAATTTTGTGTCTCTTTTTAATTTTTTTTTATTGTCTTTGGCAATTTTGTGTTTCTTTTTTCCTTTTCTTGTGTCTCATCATTGTCTAATCTTTTGTAGTTGTTTTGCGCTTCTTTGTAATTGTTAATGTTATGGTGGTCTCTTTATGTCCATTTGTAATTGTTTTGCTTCACTGTCTCATCATTTTGTATCTCTCTGCAGTTTTTCTGAATCCCTCTGTCATCATTTAATTGACTCTCCAATAACATGCTAGCCCAGGAAGCATGCGTTACACAGAATTCATTGTGACCTTTTATAATTGTGATGTATAATAGAAAATCAATTGATAAATAAGTATAAGAAAACACAGGACTTATTGTTTATTATTCTCAGTTAAAAGGCGTGCGTATGTTTCATTTTTAGCACTCTGCTCCACTATTCCATCCGTTCACTTTGCCACTCATATGACGTATGTGTCTACGTAAATGCTAAGCAGGAGTGACTGAGTAGATGTCAAATGATTACCGAAACAAACCCCTCCTCTTATACGTAGGAGAACTGGAAATAGCAGACACAAGAAACAGAAGAGGTGGGAGTCAGAGGAGAAGAGGAGACAAGGATGGACAAGGACAAGGACCCTACTTAATGTCCTACCCGTCTGTTTACTTATTTACTTACTTATTTTACAGAAAGAAACTAGGAGGGCCAAGAATGATTAAGACCACTAAGGGGTTTTCTTAGGCAAAGGGCAGGAGTTTTAAAGAATATTAAAACACTCCTACTGTGTACATTTTTCAGTTCAAATCAACACCTTCCATTTAGGGCAATGAGGAATGAAAGGTCAGGGGTCAGCTGACTTCCTGTCAGCTGGGAAGAGACCACAGAGAAAAATAATTCACATTTTATAACTGAGTTTTCAGAGGTTTGTTTGGTTATTTCTACTGCTGGTTCTTCAATAAAGAAAAGGCTCTTAAGGCAAGCTAGTCAAAGTTCACAGCAGAAATTATGGCAGCATACTGTATGTAGTTTTTGAGCTTTCCTGTCTCCCTTGAAATTTACTTATAAGCTTCCTTTGTGTTTTGTGTTGTCTCACTTCTTTTAGCATTTACTGTAGTTATAACCTTTTTCTGTAAACCCGGTACAAATTGACAGAGTTATTAAGGGCAAAATGTTAACTATAACATCCAAGCTGCCATGTTATCAACTCTGAAACTGTAGGCTACACAGTCACACTCCTGTTTTAACCTAAACGCAAGCTTTTTCACAGTAATCTTGTTTCTTTTATTGCTGAGAACGATATGAATGTCTCAACTTACTTTCACACCAGTCTGTCATATATCACCAAAAACAAATGCTACAGAAGAAGTCAGCCGCCTATCATCAACAGGAAGTACAGTATCATCTTGGGACTACAGATATTAGATTGACACATTTGTGTCCTGCATTAATTCACTGTGTGAGGTAGATTTTGTCAAACTGTTTCATTGTTTCTTCTCCCAGCTTTAGGTGAAATCGCTTGAAATGTCCAAAGCAACCTGAAAGGGATGATGGACATCTGTAGGAAATGATGCTTTCACCAGTGTTTCTTTGGCTTTGTGTGTGTGTGTGCCTGGGTAAACATGAGCGTGGTGATTTGAGTGATAAGAGAGGAGGGTGGAGGGGGAAGGACTGACTCCTTATCTGTTCCTTTGTTAAGATGACATGATTGCAGTAATTGTTCCGGCCACTAATCAGGCCAGTGCAGGAGATGGTTTGTGTGTGTGTTTGTTTGTATGTTCCTGCTTTGTGTGTGTTTTCATTGTGCGTGATGATTAGTTGAGAGATGGGTGTTGGAGATTCTCACAAGCATACCTGTTGTATTTTGGCGTACACAATAGGTATTCGAGGAACCTGATTGGGTCATGATTTCCAATTGTGCAATAATAATAAATAAAGTAGTTTTTGTACATTTAAGGGTACACCAATATCAGGTATTTTTATTCTTGTGC